CACACACACACACACACACACACAAACATTGTTGACAAATTTTAGGAGGCCGCGTGCTTCTACCTTGTCTTACTTACTTCTTTCGTTGAGGAATAGTATCTTTGCAGGCTGCACAATGCCTTGGCTGCTCCTCCCTCCTCTCCAGGACCCGTGACAGAGTCTGCTTGTTGATCGTGCCAGTTATCAGCTTATTTGATATTCTTCTGGCTTTTCCACGCAGCTCACTGTCTCTCCCCGACCTTCTTGAGACACCAGCTTCCCTCAGTCTTTCCATTGTGTGTGATATGGTGCCGTCATCTTCTCTATGGTGATTGAGCCATGCTGTCAATGCTGCCATGACTGTTGGTGGTCAGGGCCAACTCGAGCTGAGTGAGATACAGCATCCATCAGACAGAAGAAAAAAAGGCCAATTAAGGAAACGTCCTTGCCAAGAAATGGACTTCATATCTTTTTCATCTAAGGCTAGGAGTATGCCTATAGGGATGACTCCACTGTACTAGTTCAGGGTATCAACATTTGGAGAACTTCCAACATTAATTTTGTGTATTTAAGGTTGCTTTAATAGTAAGGAAACGAAATGTGTAACTCGGACACGACTATGAAGGAGCTGCAATTTTGTTTGTTTTCTATTGTACTATTTCAGAACTGTTCTTACAGCTTTAATCCTTGCGCTATTTTTAGCTGATCGGAAAACCCCAATACCATTCTGGAGCAAAGAGAAAGGATTTCACATATTTTGGTACCCTCTGCATCAAATGTTCGCTGTAAGTCAATAATGTTTCTTTTTTCTACTTTTGTTTTCTTTTCTTTTAAAAATAAATTTACACTGAATTGTTCTGAGTAATGTTCTCCAGTAACCAATCACGTTTAAGTGAATATTTCCACAATACCCTTTCTTTTATTATTCTTCATTGTGGTCCCCTGCATTATGTAGGGGTATTCGGCTGTTGTGACCGGTTTTTTTACTTCAGGCACCCACATTACGATTTCGCAAGTACTATATATTTTATTTCTTTATTCTGACTGAAGTATTTTCAGTTTAAGTCGAATTAATTTTGAACTTTGCCCGGGTGGCGCTCGAAACCTACTCTTATCTGGTTTAGGACCACCATGGAATCTTTAGCGTGTGGGACCTCCGAGATTTTTTGCCCCTGATCCAAGAAGGCAAGCCGTTCGGTCTTACCTACTTTAAGTTAAAGGGTGTGGCTGAAATACAGAGTAATAAGTAGGAGCCAGGAGTAGCAGTAGAAAGGATTAAGAGAGAGGAGCATGGAGGAAGCCAAAGTTGGGGTGGGGGAGAAAATGGAGATGAAAGTAGACGGCAGGACCTAGAAAACAAAATGGTGGTGAAAGCAGATGGCAGAACTAGATAATGAGAGAACAAGAGAAGTGGACAAGCGAGACAATTTTAGATTTCGTCGCTGGCAGGTTTCGATCGTGGCATCTTTTGACTGAGAGGCGAGCACCGAACCTTTAGACCAGGTGAGCCATCTGCTTCTTCTATCGAGCTTGCTAAAAATGTCCGAATGTCGTGAGACCAAAGGTAGAACGCCTACAACACTTGCTCTGAACTAGGCAGAAAGTTAGGCCAAACGAAGCCCACTAAAAGAGTTACGGGATGAAAGGGGGGGGGCATATTGTCAGGTTATACACATCAAATTCCAGTGGCCATGCCCTATGTAAGAAATGTTTTCAGTGTGATCTGTTCCTAAAACACCCAAAAGAGACTTTCCACGTTTAAACAGTAAGCACAAATGACAAAGGTAAGTCACCTAAAATCTAAATTTCTATACAGTATATTAGGAAGAAGAAGAAGAAGAAGAAGAAGAAGAAGAAGAAGAAGAAGAAGAAGAAGAGGAAGAAGAAGAAGAAGAAGAAGAAGAAGAAGAAGAAGAAGAAGAAGAAGAAGATAAGACTTTTTGGTACCCCATAAATGTGCCCAGTAGTTTTTTTTTATCTTGCTTAGAGACTCCCTCTTAACTTTTTCTGTACAAAGACCTCTTCTGGGTCCTTGTAAAAAATGAGTTCCTTATAACTTGTAATGCCACATGCTTCCAGATGTTGATCAGTATGATGGTGGGCTGGGCTCTCAGTGCTATACTGACCAGTGCTGGCTACTTCTCAGACGACCCGGAGGCCATAGACTACTTGGCGAGAACTGACTCCAGGCTCTATGTTATAGACGATGCCCCGTGGTTCACTTTTCCATATCCTGGTATGAACAGATACCTGGAGAATTCAGTTATATTATTATTAGCTGAGATGTTTGTTGTCATCATCATTATCCGCTGCCTTGTCGACTGGCATGGGCGATCATAGACCTCCACTTCACTCTGTCTTGCGCTGCAGCAATGGTGTCCGTTGTTCTTGCTGCTCCTAGCCATGTTGTCATCTTGTCCAGTATATTTTCCCTCTGTCTGCCTCTGCCTCTCTTTCCATCATATCAAACTTGCCTGTTGTTACAATATTCTCTAATGCTTCTTTCCGCATTGTGTGTCCG